CTGTGATAGTAGCCAAATAACACAATGACATGTTTCTATTAGCATTACTCTCTGATAGCAATTAGATATAACAATCACATCGACATACTGATGGGCATATTAATAATATAGGATACAATATTATTGTATTTCGATAGTGAAAATGATATTCTTGGCATTATTTAGTGCTAATAGTAAATTAACATCAGTACTGAAATAATACCAAGAGTACTATCACTCTGTTCCTCTATTGAAATGAATATTAGAAAATTATTGATGGTAGTAATTCACGAGTGATATCTGATGGAAATACTTCGATTCGATGGAATTTAATGATGTTTCTATCAGTATTACTCTGTGATAGTAGCCAGTAAACAGTCACATCGAAATACTGATGGAAATGCCATAGACCTTCTTGCTTCATCATTTTAAACCTCGGATAGATGGAATGTAATGATGTTTCCATCAGCATAACTCTGTGATAGTAGCCAACCAACACAATCACATCGAAATACTGATGGAAATGCTTACGAAATTTCTGATTCACTATATTAAATTGCGGTCAGATGGAATGTATTGATGCTTTTCCATCAGCATTACTCTGTGATAGTAGCCAAATAACACAATCACATCGAAATACTGATGGAAATGCTTAAGACCTTTTGTACTTCATCATTTCAAACTATGGTTCGATGGAATGTAATGATTTCTCCATCAGCATTAATCTGTGATAGTAGCCAAGTAACACAATCACATCGAAATACTGATGGAAATGCCATAGATCTTCTTGCTTCATCATTTTAAACCTCGGATAGATGGAATGTGATGATGTTTCCATCATACTGATGGAAATGCTTACGACATTTCTTCTTTACTATATTAAATTGCGGTCCGATGGGATATATTGATGCTTTTCCATCAGCATTACTCTTTGATAGTAGCCAAATAACACAATCGCATCGAACTTTGTTCTTCACCATTTCAAACTGTGATGTGATGAAATCTAATGTTTCTATCAGCATTACTCTGTGATAGTAGCTAGGAAACAGTCACATCGAAATATTGATGGAAATGCCATAGATCTTCTTGCTTCATCATTTTAATCCTCGGATAGATGGAATGTGATGATGTTTCCATCAGCATAACTCTGTGATAGTAGCCAACCAACACAATCACATCGAAATACTGATGGAAATGCTTACGACATTTCTTCTTCTAAACTGCGGTCCGATGGGATTTATTGATGCTTTTCCATCAGCATTACTCTTTGATAGTAGCCAAATAACACAATCGCATCGAACTTTGTTCTTCACCATTTCAAACTGTGATGTGATGAAATCTAATGTTTCCATCAGCATTACTCTGTGATAGTAGCCAAGTAACACAATCACATCAAAATAATGATGAAAATGCTTAAGACCTTTCTGATTATCCGTTTCGAACTGCTGTTCGATGGAATGTAATGATGTTTCCATCAGCATTACTCTGTGATAGTAGCCAAATAACTCAATCACATGTTTCTATCAGCATTACTCTGTAATAGCAATTAGATATCATAATCACATCGACATACTGATGGGCATATTAATATAGGATACAATATTATTGTATTTCGATAGTGAAAATGGTAAACAATATCCTTGGCATTATTTAGTGCTAATAGTAAATTAACATCAGTACTGAAATAATACTAAGAATACTATCACTCTGTTCCTCTATTGAAATGAATATTAGAAAATTATTGATGGTAGTAATTCACGAGTGATATCTGATGGAAATACTTCGATTCGATGGAATGCGATGATGTTTCCATCAGCATTACTCTGAGCCAAACAACACAATCACATCGAAATACTGATGGAAATGATTACGACAATTCTTCTTCACCATATTAAGCTGCGGTTCGATGGAATGTATTGATGCTTTTCCATCAGCATTACTCTGTGATAGTAGCCAAATAATACAATCACATCGAAATACTGATGGAAATGCTAAAGACGGTTTTGCCTCACTATTTAAAACTGTTGTTCGATGGAATGTGTCTATCAGCATTACTCTGTGATAGTAGCCAAATAATACAATCACATCGAAATACTGATGGAAATGCTAAAGACAGGTTTGCCTCACTATTTAAAACTGTTGTTCGATGGAATGTGTCTATCAGCATTACTCTGTGATAGTAGCCAAATAACACAATCACATCGAAATTCTGATTGAAATGCTTAAGACCTTTCTGCTTCACCATTTTAAACCTTGGTTCGATGGAATGTAATGATATTTCTATCAGTATTACTCTGTAATAGCAATTAGATATCATAATCACATCGACATACTGATGGAAATATTAATAATATAAGATACAATATTATTGTATTTCGATGCTGAAAATAGCAAACAATATCCTTGGCATTATTTAGTGCTAATAGTAAATTAACATCAGTACTGAAATAATACCAAGAGTATTATCACTCTGTTCCTCTATTGAAATGAATATTAGAAAATTATTGATGGTAGTAATTCACGAGTGGTATTTGATGGAAATACTTCGATTTGATGGAATTTAATGATGTATTTATCAGCATTTCTCTGTGATAGTAGCCAGGAAACAGTCACATCGAAATACTGATGGAAATTCCATAGATCTTCTTGCTTCATCATTTTAAACCTCGGATAGATGGAATGTGATGATGTTTCCATCAGCATAACTCTGTGATAGTAGCCAAACAACACAATCACATCGAAATACTGATGGAAACGCTTAAGACCTTTTTAACCTTATCATTTCAAACTGTGGTTCGATGGAATGTAATGATTTCTCCATCAGCATTACTCTTTGATAGTAGCCAAATAACACAATCGCATCGAACTTTGTTCTTCACCATTTCAAACTGTGATGTGATGAAATCTAATGTTTCCATCAGCATTACTCTTTGATAGTAGCCAAGTAACACAATCACATCGAAATACTGATGAAAATGCTTAAGACCTTTCTGCTTCTCTGAGATGTGGGCGTACAAAAAATGGTGGTATATACATGACACAGCTCTCAAGAAAATGGAGGCCTATGGTTTAAGTGATTACACAGAAAAACTTATTATACATTTGGTTCAAATAATGTATTTACCCATTCTCCATGAATTCCCTGTTTTTCATGTGAACAGTAAGACTGAACATTGTTCACTGATGAAGAAACCTATTGAAATTATTTATACCCCTCGTCGTAGAGTACATATTAATTAGTCAAACATGGTCAAATTATTCTCCTAATGCCATAAACTACTCATATCATTTTATCTGTGACTCACATTTAAATAAACATGTGTTATTTTCAAATTAGATCATTGTTATGAGGTAGTAGTCCAAGCTCGTAAAATAAACAACGAGTTAATGATGTCCCGACTTACAGCTTATCGTTAATCATCTAATCACTTTACTATATGCCGATGTTGTCATAGTAGAAACCATAATGATCCTACGATTTATATTATTTGTGATTTGGATTTAGATCGATAACATCGAATTGAAGCATTAGATTAATTTTGCGCCACAAATTCTGAGATATACATGTAATTACTATGTATGATTTAATGAAAAAAAAAATGAATAAATGTATTCAATTTATCTGGTCATTGCATTACTACTTTTTCATCTGAAAATCAGATTTTGAGCTGACATATTTCATATGAATATTTAAATTTTTAAATTTCAAAGCTTATAACAGTTACCTTCAGATTTTAAAATTATACATGATATTGATGCATAAAGTTATTTTTCATTCGAGTTTAATTTTCACATATAAGCTCGTTTTCATTTTCAAAAACATCCTATAGTAATACATGTATTGGTATTATTATTATTATAGATTTATATAAAAAATAGTCAAATTATATCTTTTATCTCCAATTGACCAGCCCGGCTGTCTTTGTCTGTAGCTTCGTTTGCGCTTGTGGACAAACGGAATTCTTGGTGATGACGACCCCTGTCTGTTGTGGAAACTCTATACACTTTTGTACACTTTCTTTCATATATATATATATACGTAATCAATTGTGGTAACTATCAAACTACTTAATTGTGGAATTATTATATATATTAGTATGCTAATTTATTTATCTATTCATTAATTTAATATTTTCATATTTTGGTATATTGTATTTTGTAACGTAACGTTTGTTAACGTAAGCCTCGGCTTGTTTCCGAAACCCTATGTATAATAGAAATAGATACTGTTTAAATCATATCTTTTATCTGTATATCGTATAATATTGATTAGTTTATGATCTTGAAAGAGAAGAAAATATCGATATCGATGCAGACACATGGCTACTTAATTGTCTTTACATCCTCTCTCACTAAGGTTTTTTAAATTGTGTCATATACAGGATAACAATATTTTATTTTATAATGCCTATACATTATTATTGTCTTATTAAACATTTAGTCGATGCAACCAACTCTCGGAGAATCGACATAACTATGCTAATTGTAACATTATTTTATTCTATTGCTCAAGATACAAAACAGTCAATTTTCAATGCAGAAATTGTTTATATTAATCAGCTTGTATTGAAGTTCGAATATAGGCAAATTAATAAACATTCATTTTTCAAGACTATGCATCAAGACGATACAAGTATTGTCAAAAAGTTTTTCGAGTATGTGTGTAAATATGTTTAAAAGATATTATCATGCTTCATGGTTTCTGAAACCATTGTAAAATTCTCCTGGATTTTAGTTTCTGCTATGACATAAATATAGGAAATGGTTTCAAAAACATATATCCGTATGTATAATTTCTATATTATGAATAAATATATGAAAATAATACAAAGTTTGTGATGCCGAAAAATCAAGGGCAAAAGTGTGATCTTGAGTAAGAGGTTTTGGCCAGGGGTACAGGGAAAGGCAAAGTGTTCGAATGCTAAATGCATTATCTACTGCGATATGTATAACAATGTTCACCATTTGAAAGTTGATTCAAGATACAGTTTAATAAAAATTTGTTTTCTATAATTTTTCAGGTTGCCTGTAAGATAATTCATGTTAACCATGGTTCAGAATTACCCCAACACATAAAACAAATATATCATCATTTCCAAGATATAGGATCACCAATTATGATGGGTAATATATTTTCAAAATATAAATATACGGACATTATATACAAACAAATCATACAATCTAAAATCATTCTAATCCTGGGAATCTTTTTTTTTTTGTTCTAGGTGGAGAAAGTGATAATTCATCTAAAGGTATCATTGGTGCTTCTCTGAATCCACCATCTTTACTGGTTTTGGTAAGTGGCTCAAATGACATTCATCACCTCGCAAGTAATACACGATACTTTCGTTTTAAGTGGTTCATTTCCGTTACTTCTGAAAAGGATCTTATCTATTATGATTATGATTTGTCTTGGATGACCAAATTTCTGTGAATTACCAATTAGAATATTCCAAATATTGTTGTTTTCTACAGCGATTCCATGCAGTTGTTGATCCGCCCATGTATCGCCCCAGATATATCCTTTACTCCCCAGATATATCCTTTACTCCCCAGATATATCATTTACTCCCCAGATATATCCTTTACTCTTGTGTCTTTATGAATGAAGCTTTGTACCGTATCATACCAATTACTTAAAATTTAATAGTTAATTATTCATTTATTACAGGATCCACATTACCATGGGCCAAAGTTATCTAAAAAGCAACTGCAAGAAAATGGTTGGATAAAATGGAGAGCTCTTGAAACGTTTTCTCAGGATTCATTTTACAATTTATGTTTACCACAGTATAAAGAAAGTAAAACTTAGATAGTGTTCGTGTTAAAGTGTATTGAGACGAGTCTCAATGAAAGCACTGGTCTAGGTCACAGAGCAATAGATAAACTTATTACTTATGTGAAATTTACATTAGTGACTTTATTGGAAATGACACACATACACGCACAAGAACATATTATATACTGTATATAGCAGAGATTTTAAATCTGTTTTTGTCTGTGTCCCCAATTCGAATCAGCACGAAAATGATGTCCCCAAATATCGAAAGCGTATCTATGGTTGGATAGCAGTCATGTTCTCGCATAAATTGATAATAATTGAGTACTCCTAGACAATGTTAATTTAGGCTGTATATATTGTAGTCATCATATGAGATGTTGTATATATTGTAGTTGGAAATTTTTATTTTCCACAGCATGTGACTGGCTGTGACACATCAAATGTCCCCAAAGAAAAGTGCAAATGTCCTCATCTTGGGACAAGTCCCTATGGTTGAAAACCTACGGTTTATTGCAATGGCACCGGTCCTGAAAGAAGTATTCCCTGAAATCTAAATTAGAAATCGATTAATCTATCCGTATTAGAAATCGGTTGATATAATTTGATACATTTAAATGAATAAATATCTACTTTTAGGACAAATTGGCATTGTTCATTTGGTTCAAGCATAAAAGTAGACGTAAAACTCCATTCATTTCATTTCAATGGTTCAAGTTTACTGTGAAAGAGAAAATTGCTAAGATTTTGATTTCTACTGTAAGCTAAGACCAAACGTTTTGTGTATACATGTAAATGGGAAAGTTGTTTTGAAGTTCCGAGTAATATTATTTATTCTCAAAAATTGTTTGTATGTATGTAGGCTAGAGGTGGGGACGATTTGAGAAAACCTCCCCAGTTTCAAATCAAGCTACTTATACTCAGAATATCGGTTCAGAATCGCATGATCCATTAAGCATAATGTACAATGTTCGCGAAAGAATTGGCCCTGTCATTGATGGCTAGTTTTGCCACAGTAGAATTGGTCTCAATGGAGACAAAACGTCACTGGAAAACTGATCAGTGTACCGAATCATTTCCATCACCATTTTTCTATTTTTGCTCTGTATCTTCTTGCCATTTACGAACTGACGGAATTTTTATGTATCATCTGCTCTCATTCTTTAATCTGTTCACAACAAGATTTTCTTATTCTATTTAAGGATTTCTGGGCTATGCATTAAAAAACCGAATCTTACTTTTATTTAATCGAAGTGGAACCTTACGCAGGATTTGCCTTATGACAAACAAATATTTAAATGATTATATCCCTTCAATGTAAAAGGCAATGTGAATTTAGCTCATCCTTAAATCCCCCTGATAAGAAATCGGAGCAATTCTTGAACGTATACGAATAATCAATGTTTTTAAGAATAAGAAGACATGAGACATCAACAATACTCCCAACATTATGAAAAGTAATTTACTGATTAAATTTATCAAGATAGAAATCAAAAGCTTTTATGGTTACATAATATATTTCAAAAATGTCAAAAATGAATCCAGAATTTCAAGCAGAAATGTGAAAGAAATGGCATCTTATCTTTGTTCACGATCATTTCAGCAAATCAACGAATCTCTTATATAAAATGTGTGTTGAAAGGAAAATTTTGCTGGACTATTTTTCTTAAGATATCTTTGAATAGAAATACGCGATTAGTTTGGACATTTTGTATACTTCTGATTTTCTTAGTGCGTTTATTTTTATGCTCATTATTTAGCTTTAATATTTTCCACTGAAATTCAAACTTTATGGTAGAAAGTGCACTTATTTCCTGCTATATCTCCTTGGATATGGAAGACAAATGTACTAGTTTGTACAAGGTTTTAAACTTGTAGAGATGTTGTGTCTAGGTTGGCTTTACATTGAATTCTGGAAAGGCAAGATAACACAGACACTTCAATATCGACATCTGTACACTGTGGGTGTATGTGTTCATAAGATGTTCTCTATGACGTCCGCGTTAGATATATAATAACACCCAACACGAGATTTTCGTTATTTCGAATCAGAAACTCTACACTGAATATTAACGGATTGAAGGTTATCAAGAGGTTATGGTTGCTTCGACAAAAAAACAAAAACCTAAGGGTAAAGCATCAATTGATAAACCAACGAAGAGTGTCAAACAGAAAATAAATTTAATAGGGAAACCTAAATATAGTGAAATGATCAAATATGCCATTAGTTCTTTAAAAGATAGACGTGGATCATCAAGACACGCCATATTGAAATTCATCCTGGAATTCTATGATGTTGGTAATGATAAGCGAGCAGTCAACAATTATTTAAAACAAGCTCTAAGAGCTGGAGTGAAGAATGGAAAGCTGAAGCAATTGAAAGGGACTGGTGCTTCTGGATCATTCCGACTTGGTGACCCGAATGATAAGACGAAATCCAGAAATACAAATATAACTGCCAAAGTAGATGTAAAGAAGAAAGTAAAAGAAACGTTGAACATTAAGAAAGAGAAACCAGAAAAGACTACCAAACCGAAAGTAAAAGAAACGTTTAACATTAAGAAAGAGAAACCAGAAAAGACTTCCAAACCGAAAGTAAAGACAGAGTGGACTGTCACTAAAACAGCAAAAGGGAAACAACTACCAAATAATGGAAAGAGAACATCCAACAAGAAAACAACCAAAACAAGAAAGAAACAGATAAAGAAAGAGAAGAAAACAACCAAACGATAAATTATTTTTTCTATATTATGATGAGCTGGTATTAATGAAAGTTTTGTACCATTGAACATTTCTTAGAAAAGAAATTAACTTCGCTCCTTTTCCCTGTCAAGATTTAGTCGAGGTCAATATATTGCTTACCAGCTGATCGAGCTCATTTAATTTTCAGACTTCAATAAGTGAAAATGATATGAGATCTATCATCTGTTAAGTAAAGGTTTGCAACTATATTCCTGGTAAATTTTCCCATTTAATTGTATGAAGGTTGAAAAGTTGATCTAAATACTCCGCCCCACCCGAGCTGTTCAGCTGTCAGTATACTGTTGAAAGTTCGACGAAAGAGAGTGTGTTTGCCGTTTTCAAGATTATGTAACGGTCAAAGTTTAACAATCAGTAAGATAATAGCACGAAAATATCAATAACGCCCTGGATACTAAAATTGTCATCACTACCGATGTAACGCTTTCCAGAAAATAATGTACCAGACGTCATTCCAACTGATAACAGCTTTTCTCAAGAGGGACTGGGATTATTCCACTTCGTTTCAGCCTTTTATTTGATTGTAATAACGACTGGATACATTTTTGGGAAATCGAGTCTGAAAGAGCGGGATAGGTTAATAGTGTTAGCCCTGCCCCAAAGCTGACAATTTTTATAGATTATTGATTCATGGGATGTGAGGATTCATATTGGTAAGGGTGTAAAGAATGAAACGAAATAATAAACGGTATTTATAGAACTGCTCTGATTTGATTGAATTGGTATTTCATTGCAATTTTTTTTTCAGATTTTTTCAAAATAAGAATAATACAAATCGATGCTATCAGTGTACCACATAAGAATATATTCCAATTTAAAATATATCATATATTCCTTCTCTTGAAGGTCACCTGATGCGAAATAATCTATTCACAACAAAATATGTTTCTTTATTTCATTTTTGAATTGATCACATTGTATATCGAGTGTAACATTATGCCATTTTTCATACGTTCTGAAATATTGAAAGCTATATATCAATATAAATTATTGCGATTAAAATTGGATATAGAGAGGAACTCTTCCAGGGTACCAATATGTTGTCTAACAGAAATTATACTCTGGTCTATCAGTTAAATAAATGTGCATGGTAGTAAGATTTCCCTGTTGATATAAACAGGTTGGTGGATCTGAGATGAAAGTCTAAAATATAAAAAGTTTATCATATATACTTTAACGAGCAATTACAATAACTACAATAAATATAGTAACATTCATGAATCTACATGTAGATTAAAATTACCACTATCTCAACCATAAGCTCCACTACACGTACAAGTAAGCTGATATGCTGGTACCTATTGGTTTGGTTTTTATCAAAATAATATCACATTAAATGATCAAATTAACAGATTTTAGTACTTACCGAAATGACTGATCTTTGAGGGTGTTCAAAGCGTGGTGATATGATATTAGTAAGGAAAGCCCAACCAAAACTATTTAATTCACCCCGATTATACATCAGAAACATTGGGAAGAATTGTCTACAGTCTGAATTTCTGTGCATATCATACCAGTAATGTTGACCTGAAATAAAATCATATTCAACATTCTCTATGATATTTTTGCCCAAAAAAGTATACCAGGGCTGAAAAGGGTATCTGAGAGGCCATGGGGTAAGATGGTCTTTCATTGTTAACTTGTTTGTTGGGTTATGTACAATTTACCGCACTGTACTAAATTTGGTTATGTATGGTAAAATCGTAAGAAAACGCACAAAAGAATGATAAAAATGTGTGTTATTACCCATGGAACGGAAGCAATTTCCTTTAGACCATTTGGTACCAACTAAATCTTTCTGTAGTTTAGGAGCAACAATAACATCTCTATTAAAGTCGGTACCGTTCTGTATATATAGGTTAGTTCCAGTACCTTCACTTTCTACCAGATACTTGTTACGTCCTTTTGTACAGATCGTGGCTGGAAAAAACAAATGTGGCCGACAAATACATGTATAATGATAAATAGACTTTTCCTTTTTTCGGATTATTAAACTCTAGATTCATCAGCCTCAATATAAGGAGACAAGTATATATTGCTGCAAAGGGAACAGGTACCTCAGATCGCGAGATGATTATTCTCAAAATTACTTACCCGGATTCACAAAATAAGCTGTAACAAAGTAACGATTGCCTTCTTTTATAAATGGTGGTTGAATTTCAACAAATGGATAACCATTTGGTAGATTTTCAGCTAGCTGAAAAGTGAGTAAGGTACATGTACTTTATGACTTTTAAGTGGATTTATATGATTCAAAGAATTGACTTTTAAACGTACAAAAGAGGGTAGCGAATTTCCAGAGGGTTCTTTTCGGGTTGTTTTTTTTTTTCAACTGTAAACTGATCGACCATTTAAATGCAAAAACCGTGTCTTGAGACATTTTTTAGTCGTATATAACAAAGTTTTGTAATAGTACATATAGTATAGTATATAGATTAACTATGTCTTGGTGACCACAATATTTACCCCAGCCTGAATACCAGCTATATTTCCTTGAACATCATATACTAGAATCAGAGCATAATCATTATCTTTTAAATATCGATATCCTCGGAATAACCCTGTAAATATAGATAAAATAATATAGTTCTAGTAAAATTTGAATTTCAAGCTCGCTTCGAGGGGCGAAGTAGCACGGGCGATATGAGAAGATTTCATACCCTTCCCTACGAAACAATTGGAACCTCAGCCTCGACAGTTGCCATTCCATATTTCTCAGAGACTGGCGCCGCCACTGATCGGAATATGCCATTCAAATCAAATACAAAGGAAGTGTAAAATTCAGTAACTTGTGTGTCGATTGTATCAATATTCTATTGTTTTTAGTAGAATAATTTTTTTTTAAATTCTATTGACCATGGTTAGGACATATACCTAACAATGCATATTTAAAGTCACTATATATTAGAGAATTCCTACAATATCTAAAGTGCAATATTTCTAGATATCAATGGTTGCTAAAAAATATTAAATAAACGGCCTTTTTACCTTCACATTGTTCTGAAATCTTTGTATATCCTTCCGATTCAGCGTCTTTCAAAGTTAATGGTACTTTGGCAAAATTATATGGACCAGTTAGATCGAATCCAAATCGAACTGAAATCACAAAAATACAGCAATAAACCCTATGGTGGAAAATAGAATAATGCTATCAAAGTTCTGAAGATTTACAATATACATCTTTTAATCACGAAGAGATTTGAAGAAAGAAATACCGTGACAAAGCGTTACAAAATATAATGGCGTATTTAGGGGTTTGGCCACTTTATGAATTTTTCCGAGCCGAGCAATGGAGATACATCTTTCACCCCCACACACGCACCACTCTAGATCCTGCCCAGAATGTTGTTTTAAACGAAATAGTATAATCACATTAGTTTTCCTGTCCAATATATTCGATTTTCTTATGAATGCGTGACTTATCTATCGTCAAAGAGGTGATCAATGTGGGATTAACTTTGTGAGAGAACGTAAAGAGACCTTTCGTGTGATAATGCTATTATCATTATAGGATATTCATTTAATGAAAGGCAATATTCTAAAAGATCTTTTGGCAGCCAAATTTGATAATATTCAATGTTACAAAATAGGAACTGTTGGACCTGTTGAACATAACAAAAATAACTATATTGAGTTGAAAACTGACAAACCAGGAATTAAATAATTTGCCCTAGAACGTGATGATGAACCTTTGCGAAAGTGACGTCATCTAACGCATAGTTTAAGTAGAATTGCAAGAAAAACAAACTTGTGATTGAAATTGGAACAGCGCAAATCGATCCTATCAGTGTCCCAGATACAGATAAAAAGTTTAGAAAACCTTTTTACAATTCCTTTAAAACGACTTTTGACGTTTTATGATATCGCTTTATAAGAACATTTGCGAAAGTGACGTCATAAAACGCATAGTTTTAGTAGAATTGCAGGAAAAACAAACTTGTGATTGAAATTGGAACAGTGCAAATCGATCCTATAAGTGTCCCAGATACACATAAAAAGTTAAGAAAACCTTTTTACTATCCTTTTAAAACATTTGTTGAGTGTTATATAAAATATTACTTACCTCGAAGTCCGTCCCATTTCTCTGAAATAGAATTTGGACGTATTATTTCATGAGTTTATAATAACAGAAAACATAATGTTGGCCATACAAAATACATACTTTAGGCTCTTCCTATTGTCCAAGCAGTTTTCCTCTGGGTACCTACTTTAGTCTAATGTGACTATGACACAGCAGTTAAAAAAAGATTGATTATTATTGACTTACTTGAAAAGAAATCGAAATAAAATGCATTAATAGCAGAAATTATACATAAAATAAGAACCGCTGATCTCATGGTGATAGTTTACTGATCAAATGATATTAAGTATATTTTAAGTCCTATTTGTACACTTTACAGATTTGATGCGTCACTGTGTACTCAATACAAACTGAATTAAATTATTTACTTTAGAAACAAGACCTTTATACCATATTCACTTATAACACTTGGTTTCGTTTTTACCAGTCATAGTAGTCCCACCTAAAAGCCATTCACCTGCCTCTATATTGGCTATGGTTTATGTATAGTTGATTGGGATAAGATTGAGATTATTGAACTTGACATAGTCTTACATGAGTATTCAATGGCGCTTTACAAAAACACACATAGGCTATGTACATTAGTCAATATCTATACATACACACACACACATACACACACTCACCCTCACTCACCGTTCTTATTAGGTAAAAGTTTTTCCAAAAAGATAGTTTTAAAATTTCTCTTAAAAGAATCTACAGGTTTTTAACTGTTCAGGCAACTTGTTCCATAACTGTGGTCCTGCTACACTGAATGACCTATCTGCAAATGTTTTATATTTTGTTGTTGGTATATGAAGATTAAGACCAGTAGAGGATCTTGTACAATACAAATTAATATCTAGAGTTAATAGATCTGATAGATATTTTGGAGTCAAATTATTTAAACATGTGTACACCATCAGAAGGAGTATGTACTCGGCCCGGACGTGTATTGGAAGAATGTGTAGCATGAATCAGAATGTAGAATGAGTTTCATGAAACTAACATATACCTGAAAAAACTTGCATGAAAGATAAGAAAATCATTTTTTTTATAAAATAACCTTTGATCTACATGTATATGCTAATCTGGGCAATTGAGGTTTCACTTCAATGTAAAAAGTGCAACACTGACTATGACGCAGCGTTAACATACTTTTTCACAAAAGATGAAACTTTTCATTCCTCTTTATAGAATCAAGAGGAATATTTTACGATAAAATGCGCATTTGTGTCACTGAAATTAACTTTAATCGAGTTTAAAAATATAAGCTGTAATGGATACTGTTCATTATCGCAGTTATATATCTTTCTGTTTTTTCCACCTAGTTAATCCTCAGACCTTTGCTTTTGAAGTATAACCAAAATGATTAAGCAAAGTTGATAGTAGATACTCCTTATCTTGAAATGTCTTCTTTGACTCGGTCCGATATACATTCTGTTTGTTCCACAACAACCTCTGACAAACAGTAACCTCTTTTGACTAACTCAAGCATATACAATGGATGGTTGTGTGTATACTTATGTTAAGTATGCATTGAATATTCAGTCATTGTTTAGTCACAAGAAACAACAAGTGATGTAAGAATAATAATATATGTGGTATAGAATATTAATCAACACTTCTCAATCATCATACAATCAGATCATCCTAATAGACAAATAAAATATAGCACTAGGTTTAATAATAATACTCAACATGATTTAGATATTATGTAAAATCAATCAATAAAAGAGATATAGTCAGTTTCACCAATCTATGCCACTTTGAAAACATTTGTAATAACTTCAACAGGAAAACTTTGGATTTTAATTCAAAAGAATGCTGTTGATAGTCAAAATTGAGCTTTTATTGTTGTGATAAAGCAACTATGTAGATGATTATTATCATAAAACAATCAGATATCTGGCAATAAACCTTTTTAAGTGAATTATCAGTTTGTACAATTTAATTTCATAATTCCATTTCCACATGGAAATTCTAATAGTTAATAAGAATAAAGCATTATAGCACATAATTTTATATCTTTTAACAAAGCAATAATTCAAGGACTAGATTTCATTTGGGCAAGATATTATACATAAACACAACTAACATAACATCAGCTACTGCACAAAATCATAGGTATCAATTAACAAATTAAAAATTCACCTAAATTCAACTAAAACTATAAGTATCACTGGGTATTACACACTATATCTAACTAACTGGTTTTCATATTGACTTTGGTTTGGTTTTAATTGGCAAAAATATCTCCCATAGGAATCCATATATTCTTCACTTGTATGGAATGATATAAAAATTCTTCTCCCTGTCCTTGTTCTGGATCACTCCAATTACGATTGGTTCCATAGTTCACCCATGTTCTCTTTAAGTTTTCAGCTGAAGTATATTCTACAAACTTGGATCCCTGGCCAGTACCAAAATACCACATAGCTTGTATATCTTGATGTTCAGCCAAGTATTTGACAATGTGATCTCTATCACCAGTTAATATATTGACTACACCACCAGGTAAATCAGATGTATCAAATACCTAGAAAACATTATATTTATACAGTAAATAATAATTATTATATAATAAGTACATAAAATATATGTTTCCCATTATAATCAATGAAAGTACATTGAAAGTTTTCAGTTTCCTCCATACTAAGTGAACTGAAATTTTTTTTATCATACAGCTCACTTTTAAAACTTTTAGAGAATTGTTCAAAAACATCCAGAGCTTTGGCTGGAATGCAATTCCTGAGAATTTCTCCTGCTAATTTATAATCAGAAAAAAGGTCAGCTATTGAGCAAAGAAATGGTATGAAAGTAATACAATACCTGATAGAAATCTAGAGCTACAAGAGGATATTTCTCACTGGGTACAACAACTACTGCATTACCACGAATAACAGCAGGAGCAAATAATGATATAAAACCTAATAAAGGATATTCATCAGGACAGGCTATAC